TTGCAGACATAGGCGGTGGGTATCATAGGCCGGGGGAGGCTGTGCCTGACATGGCCCCACCCATGCTCTGCCCCGAGGACTTTCTTGCCTACTCCCAGTTCCCTTCCCGCTCTTCCGGGGCAGAGAGGCTGGGGCAGGCAGGCTGGTGCCAGTGCTGACAAGGCCTGGGGCTGGGGGGGCTGGGGCTACGACATGCTGCCTGCCCGGCACTGGGGGTGCTGGAACTGTGCCGCCCACCCAGCGCTCCGGAGCTGGGGGTGGGGGCGTGCCGGCCTCACTGCCCGCCGAGGGTGCTGGGGCTGGGGGCGCTCCAGCTGCACTGCCCATCCGGTACTCCGGGGCTGGGGGTGGGGGCGTGCCAGCCGCACTGCCCGCCGAGGGTGCTGGGGCTGGGGGCGCTCCAGCTGCACTACACATCTGGTACTCCAGGGCTGGGGCTGAGGGTTCGCGGGGGGCCAGGAGGGGGTACTCTGGGCTCTGGCAGGGGAGGGGGGCAGACGGGGTGGGGGAGATTTGGGCAGAGGGGCAGGGCCGGGAGCTAGCCAACAATTTGTTCACCCGCCACCCATGCTTGCAGAGCAGATATAGACTTTTCACCCAGAAGCCTTGTGTAGCATCTTAGAAGAGATGGATGCCCTATGCTTTCCCTTCCACTGCACTATTCCATTTTATATGCACCATTCCTATATATGATGTTGTCTAATTAAAATATAACCATGAAAATCATTATTGCTACCACTGTTATATAATTGCAATGAATCTTATACAAAGTATAACACATGGCCAGAAAGGGTTAAACAGCTTGCAGGCTAACTAACCCAAAGCCAACCTTTAAACACGTTAGAAAGTATGCAAATAGTAATTAGGGCCATCCAACGCTAAATAGACTAGAACTTTGAAATGAAAACCTGTATTGTTAGAAAATGAGAGGTGATGCTAATTATATGTGTTTACTTATAGTTGCTGGCCATGTAAACAGACAGTTCCTGTCTGTCACTATAGCTATTGATTCAGATATCAAAAGGGAATATTAACATGTAGATGAATCTTGGGTGCAATAATGTCATTGTCTATATGTCTCTTTAAAGTTTATCACAAACTGCTTAATGGATAAATTATCTTATGTTCATTCATGTAGTTAATTACCGGTGAGGTTTAGGAAACAGAAGGTTACATCAAAAGCCTATTGTTCACCCAGGACTCTATGATCAAGTGGCTGCTAGAAAACTGTATAAACAACCCTTGGGTCCCAATCCTTTTTATCTCAGATCTACTTAAGCTTCATCAGGGGAAGTTTGAGTCGCAAGATTGAGATCCCAATCCTAAACTGGAACACCCTGAATATGATATTGGACACTGAACTATAACCTATGGACTAAATTCTAAAAACTCTTTTCCAGCTACAAAGCTCACCATCTCTGCTATGAATCTGAATTTCAAGATTGTACTGATGTCTGTGTGTATACTGATCTTTTAACCAATCTCTCTCCCTTTTCTTTTTTTAATACATTGTAGTTCAGTTAATAAGAACTGGCTGTAAGCGTGTATTTGGGCAAGATCTGGAATATGCATTAACCTGGGAGGTAATGTGTCAGATCCTTTGGGATTGGTAGAACTTTCTTATATGATGAATAAGATTTTCAGTAATCCTGAGTGTCTGGGTGGAGGCCTGAGGCTGGGTTACTTTAAGGGAACTGTGTTGTTTGCTTCTGGGCAATCAGTGAGATAATAAAGAAGCTGTTTTGTGCTGGTTGGTAAATCTACATATTGGAATATCCACCAGCTTTGGGGATTGTCTGCCCCATTCTTTGCAGTTCACCCTAATTGAGTGACCTCAGTTGACTCCCGAGGGACTCTGGTCACAGTCCCCCTTGCACAGAATCAGCAGATAGCAGGCCCCTTTCCTCTCCTTAAGACCATAATAAAGGCAGGAGTTTAACAATCAGCTCTCAAGCTGCTGTTGTCATCAGGTAAACTTGATGTTCCTACAGTAGATGAGGCATTGACCTATTTCCTGTCTGCCCTCCTGCTTATGTCATGACCTTGCACTGTATGAGGTCACTAGTTGTGCAGTCAATCTGAACCAAGTCACTGGTGCATGGTAATGCATGCTTTAGTTGTGTAGCTTATATGACACTGCTAGCATGCTTGTATCTGTTGAAAATCACTAGTTCGTGGGAAGGAAAGCACACTGAAGACAAGAAACAGCCCTGATAAAGAACCAACACCTTCTATGACCCCACCAGAGAAAATAAGAGACACACAAAGTCAGCTGCTGCAGTATCAACGTTTAAGAAAGAAGTTGTGATCCATCTAACACAACAGCAACAAAACAGACAACACATCTTAAAACTGATGACAACAGGAGAGGTAAGAGGAACACTTTGCATGAATTCGCTCTGAATGAGAGCTATAGCTAATTATGCAGGAATAAGCCATAGTCCAGTCAACAGAAGACACACCAAATGGCTCACCATTAAAAAGTCAACATTTTACAGAGCACTACTGAAAGCTTCAGAGACATCTGAAATTAACAGTTCCTCCCTGCACTTAGAATTAGGAGATACCTATGGTAACTGTATGAGAAGAGTTGGCAAATTATGACGTGTTAATGATTCTGTTGTAGATAATGTGATTTCTGTATTCATAGGTAAGGATCCACCAGTCTTAATCTTGGACATCTGTATCATGATCAGAAGTAGACTTACAACCTAAATACTACTGTTACTGCTAACAATCATATTTTATATAGCAATGAGAATGGTGTTTCACTGAAAAGAAAAATAAGAATACATCTATCTAGGGCCATAGGCTGGAAATGGCTTACGTGATACTCAAATTCTGTTCTGCTGGGCTCTTGGTGCCTCATCCACTGGAGGTGGAGGGGACAACAAAACCCATAGAATATCACTGAGGGATGTCACTTGTTTCTGAGAGAAGTGAACATTTACTGGCAGCACGGTGAGGTTCAGAGAACAGAGAGAGACACTTCCAAGGACAAGGGACAATACCACAGAGGAAGGTATATGTGTTTTTTTTAGCCTGCCAAGAATTTGCAACAGGCATTTCCAGGCTGTGGCTCCTCTGTGAGACTGATCCTGCCAGCTCTCCAAGTTCAAAGAGAAAAATTGCAGGAACAGGCTTTGAATATTATCTATATCTATTATTCTATATATGGTGTTTCAATTTACAGCTCCTGATGGGGAAAGAAGCATGAGCCACCCATAGGGGTCAGATCCTGCTGCAAATTTCTCCAAAGTTCAGCAGTCTCTGGATGTGGGGCCTTGGCTCAGATTCATGTCTAGCTTAAAACAGGTTGAGGTGAAAAGTGAAATGACTCGAGCTGTCCACAGTCAAGGCCTCAGGGGACTTCGCTACATGGCTGATTCTGCAGGAGAGAGGGTGACACTAGCACTGCAAAAGCAGTGATGCGACCAGTCAGGATTAAAACCAAGTGGACCCAGCAGTTACAGAGAAACTTGCACAGCACCTGCCAACACTACACCTGGCTGTAGCTGGCCATAATTCATTTTCTTGAAAAATGAGGTTTGTTTTTTTTTAAAGGCATAGGTGATGTGTCTCAAAGCTTCTAGCCCCATAGGAATTGTTACTGATCTATCTTTCCTACTGTACTGCTGGCAGTGTAGTGGAGAGGAATTTATGCTTCAGAGGATGGCAAAATCCTTTCATAATGCACTGAAACAATTGTGCAATGCTATAGTTAGGGGTAAACAGGCTGGAGGAGAGAATTTACTCATGACCAGCTGAGCATTGTGAAGAATTCATTATACTTATCTTGCCGAACTACACATTATTAGTGGTTGTAACCGTATCCAATCCTTTTAAAATGCCAGCCACAGTAGATGACCATCTCCTGCTTGGTGGTTTCCATAGGTCAAGCAAATAAGTATGTCCTTTTATTGGATCTAAATTTATTGCTCTGGAATGTCAGTGGGCCAAATTCTCCTCTTGATTATACTGGTGCAACTCCACATTGCTTT